GTGTGTGTGTGTGTGTGTGTGTGTGTGTGTGTGTGTGTGTGTGTGTGAAAAAAGCAAATATCGCATACTTGTGCTGTAAGTGCTATACGTTTCTTAAGATAAAACAAATGTGAACGTTTGTTTGTTACATTGCCTATAAAATAATTAAACGTAAAGTAAGGAGTTAATTCAAATTCTACGCTCTAAAGTCTTGAATTACTACAATTTAATTGTATTTATTTATTTATTAGTACTTTTAGAATATTTTAAAGATTATGTTAAAACGATAGTGCTTTTACTGCCTACGGCTTGATGAGCTAAGTGGTAGACAGAGGGAGCATGATAACCAGAAGTCGTAAGGCAAAGATGGGTTAAAGTGCATATATGAAGAAAACGAATAAAGCATACTTGTGCTGTAAGTGCTACACGTTTCTTAAGACAAAGTAAAGTGAACGTTAGTTTGTTCCCTTTTCCCGTTGCTTCCGAAACAGTTAAACTTTATGGTAATAGTAACCTTATTTTAATTTTAAGACGTTAATTCAAATTCTACGCTTTAAACTCTTTAATTACTACAATTTAATTGTATTCATTAGTACTTCTCTATCTTTACAAATTTAAAAGATTATATTTAAACGGTAGAGTGCTTTCACTGTCTACGGCTTGAAGAACTAAGTGGTACTACAGAAGAAGAGAAATTACAGAGAATATAGTAATATAATAGGATTAAGTTTCTTGAAAGCGATATATAATCCATTTTCCATGTTTATTACAAATTAGCTAATAATGTTGCTATTATAACGCTTTTAATATAAAGAAGAAATTGTACAGAGATTTCCTTCGTTTATTCTATACGATAGGTGTCTTGATTTTAAGAAATACATTATATTTTTTAATTTAATTTTTCAAATTTAATTAATTAATTAGTTTTGTATTATGTTCGATAATATACTTTATATTATCATACCACAATTAGATATAAAATTATTTTCTTTGTCAGTAAAAAGTCCCATACTAAAGATTAGCCGCACATAAATTTGACAAAGTGTTAAAACTGCAAGAAACTTTGTGCGGCTAATTTTTAGTATGGGACAGTAAATTCTTGAGAAGGACACAAAACTAGTGTCGAAACGTCGAATGAATTAATGTAACACTACGATATTAAACGTCAGTTTGGTCAAATAATTACTCTTGTTGATATCATAATTACTTTTACAATATCGCCCAATCAAGGAGGAGATTAATCAATTAATGGAGCTTGTAACTTCTCGATTAGCCTTCCGCGGCTTATAATCCTCAGCAAACTTAAAATAACTAGCTTAATTCTCTAACTAAATAAGGGACAATGCGTTAACAAAGCACGCAACATGTTCGAGTATTCTCCCATCCGCTTGATTGGCGATAAGTAATTATGAAGAGCGACAAAAGTAGTCTCGTAATGTCGAAAGTTGCAGAAGGTGTATAAAAGTACCTATATACGTATCGGATAATTGTATACAAACAATCATCAAGAAGTTATCTCCCGCGGCGTGCGATAAGTAGTCCAAACGAGGAGCACAGTTAGTTGTGTCTACTCGCGACAGACAATGGCGAAAGTTTCACCTACTGAATAATCTGACTGTCGAATACAACGAGGAATTGTTAAAACAGCCCAAGTGACTGCATAAGAACTTTAACGGTACCACTTTGCGTGGGCACGTGCCAATTTCGCGTTTGCCTTTGTCGTTCACAGATAATTTCGAAACAATTTGACCGATAAAAACGATAATTCTTTGTGTGATAAATCGGAAGGGTTATTACCGAGGAAGAGAAAACTGTTGGATTATTCAGAAATTATACGCTATTGAATAATGTCAACACCGCTCTTCCTGTAAACGTTTATACGTTTATTGAATTTGCATGTCTATTTTCTATCCAAATATTTTCAGAAGCCTCCTGGTGAAGGAGGTAAAGAAAAATATTTAAAGATAAATGTGAAACTGTTTATGAGACCGAAAAGAGATAGGAACCTCTTTTGGAACCGCCTGAAGAAACGAGATGGAACAGGGATCGACGCTGGCGAGGAAGGTGCCAAAAGTGTAATGTTCCACTTTTGAAAAATCAACACGGAAGCGATCGATTGAACAAACGATCGATAAAGCAAATAATGAAGCTTTGGTTAAGTTTATGCGATACGGGACGCGGAGGAGAAGAGATAACAGTCTTCTTCTTTCGCTTCGCGCGAGCGCGAAACACACGCCGCGCCGACGCGACGTCTCGTACTTTCACTCACCTGTGGCAGAGATCGGGTGGTCCAGGGGGAGTGGTGGTGGTGGTGACACGCACGATCGAGGCCGCGTCGATCAGGGCGATCGCGGAAGAGATTATGAAAACCGCGACGCTCATGGTCAGCCGTGTTCGGTTCGACCCGGTTAACATATGTCGATCGCGTGGCGCGCGCGCGCGCGGATAGACAAGCGAGATCCGAGGGATCGATCGCGAGAGAGCGTTGATCGTGACACGCGCGCGTGATCGACGTCGCCGGGCGCAAAAATCGGCCAAGTTCCTGCCCCCGGGACGTATCTCGGGCGCTATAGCCGAGCGCGTACTCGCTGATCCATTATATCTCCGTCGCGTGCTCGCGCGTTCGCCGATAACGCGCCCGTTCGGCGAAGGCGAGTGGGCGACTTCCCCCCCGGCCGGCCATTGATTACGCGCACCGTGCGCACTATGCAAATTTCGGGAAGAAAAGCACGCGCCACCGTGTCGTTCAGCGGCACGGCGCGGCGCGCGGTTTATCCAGCGGCAGATAAGCCGCGCCGAAACGAGGCCGATAGCGGCGGCGAATAATGTGGTTCAAGGAAAGAAAGCGGCGCGCGATCGCCGTCAAGATAGCGTCATAAATCATTTAAAAGTGTCATAACAGTAGTGGCACGCGTAAGACCGGAAGTGTGGTCCTCTCTGATACGATAGTTCTTCCCGAGAGGTTTATCGCTCCTCAACGGAACGGATCAGGCGACTCGCGTGGAGTCGGGACCGTGGGAAAATCTATTTCGTATAAAATTAAAGAAAAAAAGCGCTAGATGTGTACGCGTTATATCCAGTGCCCAATTACGCTTATTTCTCGCGATCAGAAGTGAACAAATTCTAAGAGCGTGAAATATATCTTCAATTATTAATGAAGATAAGTATTCCACACAAAGTGGAAAAACATCAAGGATAAGATTAATAAGAGGAATTCTAGAGCGCAAAATATGTTTAATTATTGATAAAGATAAGTATTTCACTCGAAATAAAAAAATTTCAAGGATAAGAGTAATAAGAGGAAACATTCTAGAACGCAAAGTATAAGGCTTTAATTATTGATAAAGATAAGTATTACACTCAAAATAGAAAAATTTCAAGGATAGAAGTAATAAACGTGTTGTAATAAAAGCTATCTAAATGTTAACATTGTACATTTATGACGGTATACATTTATTTATTCTTAATGCTTTTAAACTTTTATACCAGACTATAATTGTTCTTTTATTTTAAGAAGCGTAAAGACGGGTTTGTGTAACATAATTCTTATAAGTTTTATAACAAAGATGTTCTGTAGAGAACTTTGACGATTGGAGTTTTCGAAGGACGTTATTAGAAACAACTGAATTTAGTAATGTGTTTTAAGATAAAAATTGTTTACTTAAGCTGTTCTTATCAGGTCAAATGATAAAAATGATTAAAAAGATAATGTGTTCTCTCATAGCTATACGATATTATTGCATGCAATATTTTTTATTTAATATTTCGATATTAATTTATATTTAATACGTGTATCACTTTATGTAAATTGAACTAATTATCGACGTAATAAAATAGGGAGCCAAGCGTACAATATTGTATATTATAAGTCAATACAAAACTAACGAAATTCGCGGACGTTTCGACTCTTTTTTGGAGTCATCTTCGGCGCAATGTGAACGTTACAACGTAGTCAAATTAGATAAAATACAAAAGAAAATGTGTATAAAA